GCAATGCGTCGACCCTACCCAGACCGTTGGAGGTTGTTAGCTAAGGCTAAGAAAGAGGCAGCTCTTGTGCTCAAAGTTCCCTGCTTGAATTTCCCGAAATGAGATGGGCTGTTCGGAAGCAACACCCGGAAAGCCAAGCTCCTTCGAGTTTGGCTCGGGCACCTTAAGACGGGCATCAGTTCATAATGAGGTGATGTTGGACTATATACGAGAGTATTGTGAACTTAGTTGACCAGTCATGAAGGCTCATGAAACGTTTGAGGAACTTTCTGGAGCGGACTATGAAGCTGCCTCTGCACATGCCTGTAGTACGGCGGGCGTTGATGACCATTACCCGAGCTATGATCCGAGATTCTGTGACTTTTGAAAGCTCACCATGATCGACTCTGGTTATGCTTAGCAATTGTCTTCAAAGCAATCCCCGCACTGCAACTTTGGGGCAAGATTGGCAATAGCATCGATTTTATGGCCAATGCTCGTCGCCCAAGTGGATCCAACCCCAGACAATGTTGCTCTATAGCCTCTCATATGATACACCGTAACTTTCAGGTGGAAAAAGTCCCGAGTTGGACTTTTAGTCTAACCGCTCTACTGGGCCTCGTCCCCTCGGTAAGAGTCTTGATCTTGGGGCTGTCACGTTGACGATGATCATCACGATCAGTCCTAAATGTACAGCATTGGAAGCTGTCCACCACATGCTTGATCCTGTTCACAGTGGAATCAGTGCTATCATGGACATATCTTGCGAGCTTCGGTCTCTGATGTCGCAGCGATACTCGAAATTTGGTTTCCCAATTTGACAATTAAGAACATTTGTCATTCAACTAACAACTACCCTGGAGCATTGGATACAACGTCCGAACTTTGTCGGTTCGTGGTGTTGCACTCAAAGAAGAACGGTCAAGGAACACTTATATTGCACGACACAGCGTATGATTGATGTAATTGCTGTCATACGATGTATGGAGTATGGCTGACCATTCTATGAGAAACAGGAGCGTACCTTTGTTGCAATATGACGATGACTATTGTCACGGGGCATACGCAAGAGAATGCTTTCGAGTCGGTCAATCTGACGATGGCAACCCCGATTACCATACCATCACGACCGATTGGCGATGACTCTATATTGATCTGCAGGTGTCAGTCATGATCGTCCAATCCATTTATCTGTCACCGACTCCCTTACAATCACCACTCACTGGACTGTTGATATCAACACCAGGATCAAGGTTCTACGGAGGAACGCACCGGCCAGTGTAACTCTTCAATGCTACATCGCTACTGTAAGACGCACAGGGCCATGTGCAAAATAGCAAGGTGCAAGGGTTCTGTGCTATACCATGCTGTACGCATATTTATTCCTTTTTGCGACTGACCGTTGTGTCTCCACGTGGGGTATCTTGACCAACACGTAAGGGAGACGCGCGGACCGTTCTACTGTCAAGACATCCAACGGTCTCGCAGCGGGACAATGCACGCTAAGTGTTGTCTTGATGCAGTTGCTGCCATGACATGACGGGCTCTTGCAATGTAGGAATCATGATCCGAAAGAAATCCCTCGCCTCTATGCGTGAAGCGCGTTTTTTTCGCGGATAAGAAGAGGCAAATATTGAGCTCATTGGCGCATGCCAGGTCGGGTTCCTGCATTGATGTGTGGATGCAGGGGAGGTGTCACATTCTCAATGCCACCCTGTCTGTGCCTGTGCATGTGAAGTTTGGACTGAGAGAATAGTATGATATGATGTGACTCTGATGGCGGAGGAGAGGGATGGACAGAGAGGCCAGAGTCAAGCAGATCAAAGAGAAAATGAGGTGACATTTCCCCATGAGTTTGAAAAACTGGGGAAGATGGGAAAAGGTGGGAATGGCCTCAAGCATGAGAGGATTTCCCTGCATCACATCGCATTGCGTCGTATCGAATGCTTGGCAGTTGGAGACGGAGACGGAGAAGAGCTAGATACCCACCCCACTCCGGATCTTTTCCTTTCTTTGATGCTGAGAAGCCTCATCATGGGAATTCCGAGTCAGCTTGGGTACAGTACAGGACGGGTTCTTCAATGATCAGCCAGGATATCCCAACTCTCGTTTGTTTCAGCAGTAGCATCACGTCATCTGACACATGGAGAAAGATATCGGCTGCCGTGCGATTCAAACACTGGAGGCATCATCCTTGAAGGCGAGTCAAACCAGTTCAGTTGACTCTGGCCATGCCATGCCATGTCTGGTCATAAGCATAATGCTCGATCGAGACATGTGCATGTGCCTATCTGCTCGATACGAGGCTCCGTCAGTTGCATTACGTGTGCGTGCTCTGTTGTGCCTCGACTACATACATACATACATACATACATACATACATACATACATACATACATACGGAGTAGAGAAATTGCGCCTCTCCGGTGTGGGGATGAGGCATATGCATGACTGATGGAATATCATGTATGTACAATGTAAGCAAGCTGCAGAAATGGGAGGCAAAAAGTGATGAGGCCCTATAGGCTGTACGTCTATCACATCGCACTGCAGAGTATAGCACAGCGGTTATTGATTAACCATATCATATCACATCACACACACTCGACTCGCATTCTATGCTAACTGCAGTCAGGTCTAGTCCGTCATTTCAGCTAAGCCATGAGATTGAGACAGTCTTCACTCTTCAGGCACATCTCACATAACAACAACCAAAAGTACAAACATTTGTCATCTGTCACAATCGCCTCGAGGCCCCGTTCCTTGGCTTCGTATGCTTACTTTACAATGGATCGCTGGGTCAATCGTCCCCTGGATTGATTGGTGCGACTCACAAGTTCCAGCAGAAGAGAGAGACATTGCCGGCGCTAGAAACGCCTCATCCCGACCGTTGCAGCACGCACCCCGGACGCAACACGGCCCCCTACTCTACTCTACTCTATGGAGGAGCTAGAGGAGTAGAGGAGGCATCTGAATTGAGGCACCAAAAGTAAGGCGAGATGAGAGACAAGATGAAGTGAGACAACAAGTCTATTGACTCTTGAGAGCATGAATGCCTCGGCAGATGAGTGAGTATTGGAGTCGACAACTGACTCGCTCAACATACATAATAGCGTTCTAGCGTTGTAACAACAGCGACACGTGCTTGATAGTTGAAGCATGTCAAATGCAACATGAATTGATTCTCGACTATGAGTGAGTGAGTGATCCTCTTCAACTCTAACAAACTTGGGTGACCAAATGTCAACCCAACAAGAGCTCTTTGGCGATCTGTGCCATCCCCGCCTTGGTTCTCGTTCAACTCAAAAGCGCCGAGCGAGGCCAGCCTTGTCCCTGTCATTGTCCTCATCCTCAAATCCTACGGTAACTATGTAGCTCTTTTGCCTTTGCCTCTGCCTTTGCCTCTGCGGGCCTGTCAAAGTAGGCGGGAATCTAGCCGTGCAATCCGGACCAATTCCAGCCAGAGGCCGTACCATGTTGGGCATAGCTTCTTCGGCTCACCAACTACAACCGTCTCGACCGCTTCTCCATTCATTTATGCTACCTTGCCGTGACGAGGATTATATTATAACGAACAGGGGAGGTATACAATATGTGTTGCCTGGTCTGGTATGTATGTATGTATGTAAATTACACCACGCACACCACACCCCGCCTGTTATATGATGATCGACTTGGTGAAGCTCTCGAATTGGGAACGCTGAGGATAGATCGCTCAAATAGGGCCACTTAGTGCTATAACGCGGGACAGATTGGGTTCATTGGGCTCGAAAGAGGACCCTGAACATCAAAAGACCTTTTGCTTTTTACCGGTAGCAATGGTAACGCACCAGTGCTAACGGATAAGCCCTTTCTGTTGCATTGGACGTGCATAGACTCTAACTAACTAACTAACTAACTAACTAACTAACGCGTGAGAAACGGAATACCGCTTTGAGATGGTCTGAGACATTGTTTGAATTGTTCAGACCACGAATGATTTGGAACTGAACTTCGGCAAAGGATATGACCGATGATTGACGAAAGATAGTGGTTTCAAGTTCAGTCACGATGATGATGACGACGATCAACAGACGAGATGAGAGACTAAGAAGCCTGCCTCATGGATCGAGTAGAGATCCCCGGGTAATCAAGCCTGTGGCACCAAGCAACGAGCCAAGCATGGGAGCCTCGTCTCGTCACCGTGTTGTCGGAATCAACCAAATTCACCAAGCGAAAGGAAGAGACACCCTCCCCTTCCCTCCCCTCCCCTCGGAACCGGTTCCAAGAGTCCCCAGGGATCAACGGCGTCCCCGTGGTACCGGCACCGCGAAACTGCCCATGTTCTCCCCTCTATAACTAAGTATCTATCTAACTTGAGACATGGTTACATTGCTGGTGGTTCTCTACAATTCTGATGAGCCTATCTCATCTTTTGGTGAGGAATTGTATCTGTATCCGTATCTGTATCTGTATCAGCTTCACCAAATTCTCCAGTCTACTCACTGCATTGCATTAGTGAGGCCTACTTCATCTGTCCCGTCCACGTGGTTACATACATGGCTACCCTTGTCTCCTGTCAAGAGGCTTAGTGCGACACTTCTCAACTCTCGCCTGCGGCGGGACGAGCGGACTTGATTTCTTTGTGGTTCGTGCTAACAATGGAATTAGTCTGGCTTTACGGTGACTCGACGTGTTTCAAGACACATGAGTTAACTGTTTTAACTGTTTGAGCAATTGAGAATCCGGTTTGACAAGAGTCGCAGCTAAGAACTAACTATGTCTGTCACAAAGACGTAATATTTCATTCAATTCAGCTGCCAGAGAGACTAGACTAGGCCTCGGCACATGATCAATCTGTCAATGCAAGATAATCTCGATTCCATTTACCAAGAAATTGGGCCGTGATGGACTCGAACGAACCAACTGCGATCTGCTATCTTGAAATGGCTAGTGAGTGAGGTAGGTGGAGGCTCAGTAGATGGACAAAGCTCGAGATACTACATATCAAGTGCTGCGACGCTGCGTGGAGACCAGCCGAACTAGCCGAGCTTCTGCGCAATGTCGTTTGAAGAATCAGGATCAGGGTTCTATGAGATTGTGCGTTGCGTGTTCGTAATCAGGTGTCGATAGGGAAGATGCTTGGAGAGATGGGTCACGAGAGATGGAGAGGTTGAGGCCGTGAGGTTCTTGAAGAGTCATGAGAGTTGGCATGACTCGGTTCAGTGCTGAGACTTGAGTTGAAGTGGGCAGTGAGTATTCAGACTCAGGATGGAGATACGATTTGCTTGTCTCTGAGATGTTGCCTAGCAGAAAAGCTTTCAGTCAAGGACAATAGGAATAGGGTAGTTGGACAGAGGAAAGCAATGCATGTACTGCTCACAGTCCAGTCCGGACCGCGTTATGATGACATTAGACTACCTATACAATCTACCGCTCAACTATAACTCGTACATCACTAACCGCTGCTCTCGCTACCTTCTTGAGCAATGTCCTCTCATCTGCCTCACGGTACCTCTCCCACGAATCCAGCCCCTCCTTCGCCTGAATACTCAACGTCTCGTAACCCTGGCGAATAACCTCCGTGACCTCCTGCGTCGTCAAAAGACTAGGCTTACGACGATTCGCACCACCTTCTGAAAGCATCTGGTTGTAATGCGCACTAACGTTGATGAGTGTATCGATGGAGTTGCTGTTACGGTTACCCAGACGGTAGTTCTCTTTGAACTTGGTGAGAACCTCACCGGACTCGACGACCTTGTAGAACAGGTCATCGTAGTCTGCTGGCGAGGGGAGGAAGGCTTCACCAGCGGAGAGGGATAGGGCGATGAGGTTAACAACGTGATCGAGAAGGGTGTCGATATGTGGTAGATCCTTCAGGTCGGCTGTGTATGTAGCCAGGAAGCGAACTATGGAGAGCAAAGATCGGAAGAACTCAGGCCAATGATACTCCAGCCGTGTGCGCGTACGAGAGAGATATGAGACAATACGAAGCATGATGCCAAAGCAGAGTGTGTAGAGACTGACATCAAGACGACGACGAAGATTATGATTCACACCGTCAATCATAGTGTCAAGAAGTGAAATGGCCAGGACTCGCTCGCCTTTGACGAGGGGAAGGTAAGGCTGTCGTTGACGACAGAGACGCACTGCAACACGGGATTCATCGCTGCAGATACGCTTGCATATTGTGGGATCTTCGATCAGGAGGCGGAAGACCATGAGGTTGAGATGGGCGTAGTATGTGGCGCGGGGTGAGAGGTAGGCGTGTTGGAGGAGATAGGAGGTGAGAGAGACATAGCTGGCGATGGGCTGCTCAGCGCCTGGTTCAGCTGCCTGCGTCACTAGGTTGAAGCAGAAGAGCTTGTTGGCATGGGTAAAGTCGTAAGTAGCTAGTAGAACAGCAGCTTCTTCCTCAGGTCTAGCAGATTGTCAGTTTGCATTGCAGTAGCACAAAGGGGTTGAGTAACTCACAGCTTGGTGAAGAGAGCTTTAGCAGTCTCAACATCATACACAGGCTTCTTCACAGGTTTTGGCCCTGGAGCAATCGCGCCGAGACCAATCATGTTGAGAGTAGCGCTGAAGGTCCAGCCTTCAGGAAGATCGTCCTGGATCGTGATGTATCGAGACCGGACTATCTGACACGCTTCTCCCACTGCGCCTACGATCTTTTGAATCACGGCTTCGTTGACAAAGTCGTTTAATCTTTGCTGGTAAGGATTCTGAAACTCGAATTTGTTGTAGTTTGCTAGGAGGCCTAGTAATGTGAAGGGTTGTAGGACTTGATCTGACGTTTCTGCGTCTTGGATGAACTGGCATTGTTAACCTGGAACGCTTCGTCTTGTAGAGTGTTGTGTACCTTCATGACTGCAGGGAAGAGATCTCTTTGGATTAGGTAAGTCAACAGTGTTGTTTGGTACGCTCCAGCTGTTACCGCCAACAGCACTTCAACCGCCTTGTATCGAACTTCCACTGCTCCGGGTTAGTTGAGCGACCTCTGGGTAGATGTCGAGCCTTACACTCTTTGCTATTCCTTATTATAGCCTCCACAGCGCTGACAAAGTCGGTGAACACGACATCGATATGATCGAGTCCTGCAAGAAGAACCATGATATCGGAGCTCGGATGCGGGTATCGTTTGGAGAGGAGGCATGATAGAAAGACACTGAGCGTCTATCAGGTGTTAGGACCAATCCGCGTACTGCATTGCGGTCGTATACGACTCACGTCCAGGGCGTGCAACTGCGCAAGGCTATGCGAGCCCTTGAGCGCAGCTATGCCCCTCGCAAAGAGCTCCTGCGTCCGCACGTCGAGCGACAAGACATGGCTGGGGCTCAACTCGTTCAGGATACGTCTCAGGGCGGCGCGATCGGGTCTGAGGAGGAAGAACTCTGTCCAGAAGCCATCCGTATTCTCTTCATCGTCGTAGTCATCCTAATTCGAGCAAAGGGGCGATCAGTCGAGGCGGGCGCATGAGATTCGGCGGCTGCGGATATCTACCTAGCAGCTGGTGTTTAGTTCATGATGGGCAGCGATAGAGGAGGGGGATTTTTACCTTGAAGAGAGAATCGTAGAGCTGGATGATCTTGGGGGTAAAGACCTCGGGCTGAGGCTGGCGAGTAAGAGGTGACGCTTCCATAGGAGGGGAGCTGAAAGTTGTGAGGTACGATAATGTTGAAGGAGGACGACTTGCGATAGAGAAATGGGCCATGGCTATGCTTATCACGTGCGACCCTGCTGCATGTACCTTACGTTTTGGTGTTTGTGTTTATTGACACCCAAAAGGTGATGACAATAACTATTCAGCACTCGAATTGTACTAGGAAAATAAATAGACTATTCTTTGTTGGAGGTGTTTTGTATGGTAGTTCTTTCGACGCCGTTGGCTTGGCCGTTGTGTGTGTGTGTATGTGCGCGCGCCGACAAAGGGAGGTCTCAGATTCACTCTGTACCTTAGTCTAGGACAAGTGTTCGTAACGTAACGTGGCTTGCGTAAGGTAATCGCTATTTACGAGAAACATTCACTGCGAACCTCGTATTGCGATAATCATCGATACGAAATTGACGTTACATCAAGGCAGTTTTCGTCTTTTTCTTCCACATGCATTGCGTCGTGTGTAACAGAGTGTTTGCTCTGGTGGCTTCTTGTTACCTAGGCTGATATCGAAGTACTTGTAACTTTAATCTGGCCTAACTTAAAACCTGAAATTTCTGGACTCGAAACTATTATTATGTTTATTCGTTTTCTCTTGAGATCCGTACGGCATAATGTCCTAAAAATACTTGTTATTCTTTGCCACAAGAGAGTCCCAGAGTTTCCCCATGTTGGTCATACTCTCGCTCGCATGCTCAGGCACAAGACTTACATTATGGTGATGCTGATGTTCACTCCCTTCTTTGACCTGTGACTACAAAATATGTTTCACTTGATTGGCGGAAAAACCGTGTGATTCTATAGGTACCATCGTAATCAATGTTATGTATCTTTTATATGTTCTGGCTCCAAGGACATTGTATGTATGTATGTATGCCAACCCATCGAACTGACTGAGAGGATCCATGAGAGAGAACTGCTACTACTCGGCCCGTAACTTGCTGTGATTAGACTGAAGAGCCTTCAAAGATTATTTCTTTATCAACGACATTGTTTCTTTATTCTAAGGCCAGGCATCTCCCGGCAATAGCACAGCAGCGTCTTCCATGATATCAGCCACTTAAAATAAACTATTAACTATCAACCGCTCACCGTTGGCCATTGACCATTCTCACAACTCCCTGGTCGGGCCAAAAGCTACAGCAGATTGATTGCTGTTCCAAAAGGCTAGCCGCACATATCAAACACCATCCACCATCCACCATCGTCCAAGGAAATCCATCGTTGACCACGGCTACTTCTTTCGCTGGATCTTAGACTCTTGCTCGATTTGATCCAGTCTGCTCTCTCCTTTATAGCCTGGAGTTCCGGGCATTGGGCCCAGTTCAACTAGATGGCTAAACCTGGCCGAAAACTGAGGTTCGGAGCCCAGCTCTGAAGCTGAAGGCATTGAACCGAATTTGATGACCGACGATAGCTCAGGCGATTCAAGAATCTCCTTTTGCGTTGGTAGATTGGCACCATCGGCGGCGGGCATCTCTGTCATCTGTACCAAATTGCCAAGAGCTGGATTGGAATTTAGGTGCTCCTCGAACTGTCCTGGAGCTGAACCTCGATAGATGCCACGGCCAACAGGGATCGGATGCGGTAGTTCTTCCTCGGTGCTATACTTGACGGTGGTGGAAAATTCGGATGACTGGCGGTCGTCGAAGCGCTGAAATTGGCGCTTGGTTTTCGCTTTGTGCAGGAGATCTCCACGAAAATCCGGATTATACTAGCTAGCCTATCTTGGTCTTCACTCGATCATGAGCGGCATAGATCTCTTTCTTGGCCTTACTGGATTTGCCAGCCCACCATTCGTTAACATTGACATCAGCAGTGTTTAATTTAGAAGAAGTAGACATGTTAATATGCCTAGCTAATGTCTTCTGCGAAGAGTGAGCTGGTACATCAGTATCAGGAGGAGCAATTGCGACGCAGATCTCGCATCGAAGACCTTTGAGGTTATTTTGTTTAGCGTCAATGACTGCTCGGCGCATGAAACGTTTATAACCAGAATGGAATTCGCCGTCAATGTGCCGAGGTAGCTTGCTTGGGGCATATCGCTTGGCCTTTGTTTCCTCATCGACAGTTTCGTCTTCTTGGCAGCGAGGGCAGACAACCGTAGCGCCTTGTTGTTGCTTTGTTCCAAAGGCTGAGTGCTCTTCACCGACTTTCAACCAGATTTCCATAGCTGCTCGAGCAGCGGCACCGTAGTCTATCTCGGAGAGTTGATTAATATCCTCAAGCTCATCAGGGAAGGTGTCAATCGTCTGGTTATCGGCAATCTGGGCCCGGAACTGGTCCTCGGCGTCGTCCTCCGGGATGTCTGGATTGTCTTCAGGGAAATCCACGCCGAGATTGATGCTAGTTGAGTCCACAGACTCTTCGGCGCCTGTTGTATTCTCATTATTGGCGTTGGACTCTGGATTCTCAGTAGTGATTATCCGCTTGGCTTCTTGGAGTACATGCTGATTGAACGTGTTGCACATCGACTTGAGTTCCTCAATTTGCAAGTTACTTTCGTCGATCGTTGTGGTTGACTGTTGCTCTTGGCTGAGCTGCTTCATCGCGGCCCGAAGAGCTGCCCGACGGATGACTCGATCACGATTCTTCTTGGCTTTTTTGTCGCCGTTGTGAGGGTATTCATCGTCCGTCTCACGCAGTGTTCGAAAGAAGTCGTTTAGCATCGGTCCCAACTGGCGCCTCTGTTCTTCGTTCAGCCTCGAGAAAGCTAGACTCTCATCGATAGGCCGGTTATTAATGCCACCAGAGTCATCGCCAATGACCATAGACGTTAGGTCCGGGAGGGCTGTCCTGCTTGATGTATAGTATTTGGAAGCACGCTCCTTCCAAAACTCTATCTCAGCTAACCTTAAAAGATAAGCATAACTGTTTCTCGATAAAAAGGGAAGGTAAGAACCGTGTTTAAGCTCAGTATGACTCGAGAAGGGTAGTGAACAGCTTGTGTCTTGACGTTTGGAGGGACGAAACAGTATTAAGAACAGCGCATATTTCTATATACAAGCTCTGATCCATTAGCGGTGCATGTAAATCGAAGGAGTCTTGAGGGTTACCTGTGTAGCTGAAGAAATAGTGCCTCGTTGGCTTCTTCGACTCTTGTGGCTATGTCGGTCGTCAGGGTCGTGATGTTGCTTTTGCACAGCAAAGACGCGGACCGAGAGCTCTGTCTTCGTGTAAAGCAGTGGTCTTTCATATGGCTTTTCAGGCAAGAAAGAAAGGAGAGGGTGCAAGTAGCCCTCGGGATGGTGACTCATACCTGGTGATGACACAGCCTATCTGTGATTACCATTACTAGGTAACTAGGTCACCAAGGCAGAGAACACTGGTCCGCATTGCATCTCACATAGCGACCAGCTGAAAGTTAAGGGACATGCCAAGAAACTTACTTAGCTGTGGTCTTGTATGAGAATTCTCTGCTCAGATACAGATCTCCACAAACTTGTTGCATTTACCACAAACTCGTGATATCCTCACCAACGTTCTCGTTACGTCACAGCTCCACGCTCCAGCCCTACGGAACCACGTTCCCCAGACTCTCAGCTCCATAAGATCACGATCACCGAGATGGCCCACGAGTTTATTTCAAGAAGTTCCTGTTGCGTAAAAGACTCCATTCACAAGGGGTGCTCGGCACAGCGGCTTGCAGCGGCTGAAGCAGAACCCCATGGGGATGTACCTTGTCCGTCACAAACTGGAATTGAGTAATAGTTAAGATCTTTGCATTCTATCTCGTAATTCAAGATGCGAAGTCTGGGGAAGTGGAGGGCGGAAGTTTAACGTTGATATAATGTTCTTGGCGACCGAAATACACAAGTTGTTGATATAATATGAGGTGTTGGTGATTCTCAACCGACATCTCAGTATAGAAAGCTTCTGGAAAGGCGGGAGAACACCAGCCGTTTGGAGTTATGAATTGGAGAATGCCAAAAAGAGCCAGTGCTACAGGGGTAATGTTCTGTGTACAAGTTATACCTCGCTACAAGTGAATTCAACACTCCTTTCACCTTTCTCACAACCAACAACCCTCGGGACTTGACCGTTCCATAAACACACCCCATTTGATCCCAAGACGCTAATTCACAGCAGTTCTTGGTCTTCCGGTCCTGAAACCAGGGTTTGAGGCGGTGCCCGGGGAAGCCAACACCAAATACCCAACTGGAAGATGTACATACATTCCTCAATGCCTGCAGGACCCCTCAGCCTATTCCCATTCTCCGCACGTCCCCAATAATGATAACAACCCCGCATGATCTCCAATTTCCATCATGTAAAAAATACGTACAAAGAACTACGCTTGAGATTAACCTTGAATTCTTGGTAGAGCGCTTATTATCTAGCTTATCCTGCGGGACCTGGCCCTTGGACTGTTCTGGGGTGCATGCTCCGGGGAGTAAGTACTGTACTTGAGTGACTTTGTCTGAGGGAATTACCTTGTGTACGTCGTTTCGTGGCACGATTTGGAGAACCAACGACGCCGAGATGTGGGAGCATGGTTATGTCTCCTATTCTCCGTATCATATTACGTACTCTCAACGACCGCAAGTCTTGGTGAACATGTGAAGTCGAGTTATGGCCGTTGAGGTCTGTGGATTCTGTTACCATTACCCCGGAATATCCGCTGTTACCGATCTTGCTCCCTCTTCTCAATCTGTGTTTGACTTTGTACGTAACAAGATCCGCCTCTTACCTGAAGTTTGTAATACGAACCCCGTATTCCTCCATTGGCTCATGTCGTTGAGTAAAGGGGTGAAGAGACAACTTACGAATGCCCATCAGGTACTCTGCTTACGTTGAGGCCGAGTAGTCGTCTCAGACAGTCTCTTAGGACCAAGGCCGTGCACAACCCTCAATATCGCAACATGAGATATCTGCTTCAACCAAGTCCTCAAGACACTTGAGATATAAGCAGTAGATGTTTATCAACTCAGTCCTTCTTGCCCACACGTGACTATCTGAAGCGAAGACGCAATCTCCAAAACTCCACCATCTACCCATACTGACACATAGGGCGCGCTTCCAGGGCATCATCTCCACACAATGTCAACATCGAAGTGAACATAGGGCGCAATTGACTACATTTTGAGAAAAAGTTTTCATTCCGTGAAGTTATAAAAGGCTCTTGTAGAATATTTACAAACCAAACTCGCCCTTACCGTGGCCATTGTTCACTTCTTGGCATAACAGCCTGGCTTAGGCCAAGGGCTGGGACAATCATGTTAGCACATAACCTTCAGGCTCATTCACCACGTCACCAAGAAACAACTACACGGGACAATGTGTGTTCAGATTGGCACAATTTCATGCTATTATGGTATCTAACGATAAAGGATATACAGGAGATTTGTTCTATGATTTACGCTTCGAGCCAAAACGTCTCTAGTGAGAGAAACAAACTTCATAACAAGACCAAGACTTTACATGATCTTGTTGAGGAAGCGTCGCCAAGCGGGCCAAGTGGCAACCTTGGCACGGTAAGCGTTGATTTCGTCCCAGTTGTGCTCACGTCGGCCAGTGTCGACATCGATCTTGTCAATTGACAGCCAACCCTCACGCTTCCAGAAATAGCCAATAGCCCAGAAGGCAAGGACAACAGGTAGAGCAAGGTATGAGATGAAGAATCCCTCGACGGTTCCCATACCAGATTCACCAGGAGGAGCAGTAATAGCAACATAGAACTATTGACTTGGTTAGCATCATGTTTGTTTGAAGGCGGAATACGATGGCTTACCTGGGCAATAAGGACGAGACAGATGAGGCCAAGACTGATCCAGGAGCCGACAACACCAAAAGCGGCCCTGAAAGGAATCTCATCCAGAGTGTGGCCTTGTCTGGCCCAAGCCTTGCGGAAGCGAATATGGGCAAGGCAGATAGAGCCCCAGGTGAACAGGGTCGAGAGACCAGAAAGAGCCAGGAGCCAGTCAAAGATCTGTCCACCCTTGGGATCAAGGTTGACGAAAGCGATGAAACCCATGAGAATGTGGACAGCGACGGAAACAAGGGGGCGGCCACCGCGGTCGATATAGCTGAACACCTTGGGAGCATATCCGTTTTGAGCCATGGCGGTCAAGGTACGGGAGCCACCGTAAACGCAAGACACACCAAGAGAAAGAACAGAGACAAGGATAATGACATTCATGAAGTCGGCGAGACCAGTCAGGCCGGAGTACTCGCCGACAAGCACGAAAGGCGAGGCCTTGGCGTTGGAGTAACCGGAAATGTTAAGTCGGGGATCAGTGGACTTGATAAGAAGGCCGATGAAGAAGAGACCAAGGACGAAGAAGAGGGTGATACGCCAGAAAACCTGCTTGATGGCTCCAGGGAGAGCCTTGGTAGGGTTCTCAGACTCTGCAGCAGCAAGACCAACAAGCTCAGTACCGGCAAAAGAGAAGGCAGCAGTGACGAAGACAGAGCAGAATCCCTTGAAACCGTTCTTGAAAGCACCGGGGTCCTCTCTCCAGTAGCGTGTGCCCCAGTACTCGTTGTATCGACCGTTGGAAGGACCACCACCACAGACAAGGACGAGAGAGATAAGCATGAAAGCAACAGTAGCTCCGAGCTTGAGGCAAGATGACCAAAACTCTTCCTCGGCGTATCCGATACCGCCAAAGATGTTGATGAGAATGATGGCAACAAGGAAGATTGCAATGAAGATTCCGGGCGAGAGCTCATCATTCCAATATTCAATACAGACAGCACAGATTGTCAGTTCGAGTGGTAAAACGGTAGCCCATTGTGCGACATAATTCCAACCCATGGCGAAACCCCAAGAAGGATCGATAAAGCGAGACGAGTAGATATAGAAACCACCGGACACGGGATACATGACGGCAAGTTCACCGAGAGCGAAGACTATCGCGCAGATGTTAGTTTTCTGGTTGGTAGTGTGGAATGAGGTGAGTGCAACATACCGACGTTGAAGATCATAGCACCAATAATGATGAAGTCGATGAGAACAGATCCAGGACCCTGAATGAATATGTTAGTATCGAACATGGACTGCACAGACAGAACTCGACTTACGCCAGTGTAAAGGGCCTTTCCTGAACCGACGAAGAAACCAGCACCAATAGAACCACCGATGGCAATCATCTGAAGATGGCGAGGCTTCATACGGCGATCAAGCTCATGGTCACCGGTGTCCTTGCGGCGCTGGAAGGACTCAAGAGTGAGACCATTTCGGGTCCACTTGCTTTCCTCCTGGAAAGCGAAGCCACCACCGGTCTGGACATCTCCAGGGTGCTCAGTGATGGTAGTGCCCTTCTCCTGGGACACGTTGGTCGGGTTGTCGCTGGAACTCTTTGATTCCATCTTGACGTTTCCCCTGTGGGTAACTCTTGAAGAGTCAGGGATTAAAGAATGATGAGAAAGGTCGAGTGACCTTGGGTCTTTTGGATGATGAAGAAACGGTGATGGGCGGAAACAATGGTCATCAACGAGGGAAACGAGGCTTCTTAAATATAAGTTGGACGAGGGAGAAGACCAAGACGACCCGGGGTCTCGTTAGAGTCGGTGCACTAGAGGCGAAGACGGCTACCATAGTGGAAAGGGTAGATGGATTCGTTCGAGTCAAAGTTCTAGTGAGGCCCCAGGTTTGACTAGACTAGGTTACTGGGCATGCCCCTAGTTTCCTGTGTCGCCGATCACCAACAAGTTGGAAGTCTTCAAGCGTACGTATCCGTAGAAGCGCAGTGGAGAGAGAGGAGAGGGTCCGAAGTGCCAAGAGCCGCGATACGGAGGGACATGGATGATTGGGGTAGGTCGAAAGATTCAGATGGCGGAGCGGAGACCATCACCGACATGCGAAGTGACCAGGACAAGGCGAAGGGAAGGAAGGAAGGGGCAACATGCTTCCGATTCGATAGATTCAATATCGATGTCGCGGTTATGCACACCCCTTGTTTCGTGGGAAAGAACGACACTTGCAATGAGAGTGAGAATGAGGTTTGGGAAGAGGCAACATGCATTAACAGCAGCAGGACTGGGGAAGTCGCAGCCACGACCCATGCTTCCCGTGCCGCCTCATGAAAGCGCATGGATTACTCTTTCTCTCTTACACCCCATAAGCTCACTTCTACCTTCCAATTCCACCCGCCATGGCTCAATCAATATTGCTCCTCGTAAGAAGGACTCGACCGTTTCTGAGACATTTCGTAGACATTGACCAGGGGAAACAAGAGAGAGCTCAAGCCATGCAAGACGATCAACCTAATTCAAGGTAAAGTGGAGATTTGGAGAGGAACGATATCCTTGAAAGACGCTAAACCTTACTCCACTCCCGAAGGAAGGTACCGGTACATCGAAGAGGTACCTGCTGCTCCTGCCCGCCTGCCATACTTCCATTGCCCCATCATCACTTCTGACATTGGTGAAAGGCAAATAATGCCCCTCTTTGGTGTCTTAATTCTTCTTCAGGTTCATTGAGAAAAGCCGAGATCAAGCCTTTGCTACCTTATCTTTGCAATCTTTTACTGAACGATACTCTTACCATACGAAAACTCCGACACAATCAGCAACACATGATGAGACTCGGACCATGTCTTTGACTCTTCTGGCATCCAATATTGAATCTCAGCTGCCAAGCTTTCACTATCGCTCAGTCAGCAATGGACACATGTAGCCGTGAGTGCGCAGAGCGAACTTTTGTTATCCTCTCAGAGATGCGTAGAGGTTTGGGGTCCAAGGGTAACCAACAGCATGTGGCAGGTATTGCGGATAAAAAGAAGAGCAATTACAGTGAAACCCTCCAATCAACATTCCCATATTAGGTATTCGGGCCAGATATCAACTTGACGCTGTTTCGGGAGTCTCTGATTACCGAAACACTGGCTCAGCATGATTCTAAGCAGCTTGGCATCTGTCTCGATGATACCCAAATTACCCATCTCGTACCGCCCCCACCTGCTCTCTTAGGTGATGCTGTCACCTCATGTCAGTCTTTCGGTAACTCGTGTTCGATATGAGTCTACCTGAGTTGATCCCTTGGGTCACTCATGCTGTTCCTCGGTTTCACGACACTTCACTCGTGCGATTCGCAGGTGATTTTAGAGTATGACAGGGCTAGTTGGCGCCTCCTACCACATCTTGCAGAACCTGACAGGGGGGAAGCATGCCGAGAAAATAGCTTTCTTCTAGAAGGGTGGCGCAGTGACGAAGTGTCCATTACCTTACTGTTTGGCTTCCCGATTGGCGCTAATGAAACCAAGAAAAAAGGACCTGCAGTCATCAGCGCACGTCGATCGAACGAGAAAAAGGTTGATGAGGGCTACGAAGGGAAAGGCTGAAATGCTGAGTTGGTCGAAGCTCACAGACCCCGGGCATATCCCACCGTGGTGCGACGCCAGCTATCTTTGTGAGAGGGACTGTGATAACACCAACTCGACAGCAAAATCGTCGTTGCAAAACGGTCCCCAGCCCAGGTTTCCCACTATTGATACCGGTGCGCGGTTGTTTTGCCGCCGCGGCAGTCGGACTTCTCAGACAGGGAGCGTTCAGCTTCAAAGACGTACCTACTAGAGTACATTACGTTTCATCCTCCAGATTCTGAGATCTTGCTTTGAATTCCATCTACGGGGTAATACGTAACAGTTTGCTCTCAAACTGCCTTACCCCGTGGGCAAATCGCCATGAATCTGGGGAGAGCTCCATCATCCTCAGACAGAACCACCATCAACTGTCCTTTGAGGAAGTCGCTCAAAGTTTTGTACGTAATACAATTCTTCTGACGAGGTTTTTGTGGTCATTGCTATTGAGGCCCCGTTGTTTTGACTTGAAGCATAGAGCACGGGCATGACAAACCCGGACATGACCGGCTGGGCACCCTTGAAGTCCCCGCAAGACCAGTTCCAGCGTTATCAAATGTTGCCCCTGACCTTGCAGGTTATTGTGTCCATTACGTGAAGACACGCGACTCAGCTTGAAATGACAATAACAGAACAGTCACCATATCAAACGGTAATCGATAACCGAGTTGGAAGCTTTTGTTAGTGTCTTTTGCATTACCCGTCCCGAGTTGGCCGATTTCACGGGCCGATGAGAGGAAGATTATTACCTGCAATAACCTGCGGCGCTTTCTTCATTTGGTTGAAGAGCCGCAGGGGTTGTTTTAAGCATTAAGCTTACCTTCAACGAGCCACACCTGACAACCTAAAAGTCAGTATGTACGTGTATGTAATTACCCTAGCTGCAGGTGCTACATTGTACAGTACATTGTGTGGTAGTCAGCGAGTGGTGACTGGCGTGTGTTGGACTGATGCTGACTTGCAAAGCTTATTCGACTGACCAGCTACACATCATCAGCGGCTCGAAAATGTCCTCTATTCATCAAGAAAGCCGACGCATATCTACTTTCAACCAAAGCCAAGAAGTGCATCAAGCCTCAGAACGTAATGCAACCACCCATCGGGATCCCGACGCAATCTGCTGCAAATCAGTTGGCCTTGCACATTTCTAGAAAAAGTCGGTACAGGGTAGCAGTTCTGTCGTAGGACAGCAATCCAAAACTGTCGAATCAGGATGACATCTGATTCTGACGCGTGTCTCCAGTCTTATTATTAGTCCCAATACAGCAGGTTGGTTGAACTGGCCGCTGACCTTCCGCTCTAGGCATGTCTCTGCGCCATAGAACTTTATTGCGCCGTGTCTTAGTCTCTTATCACTTGGCAATGGGTGATAACGAATTGTTACTTGTCGAGCAAGGGGCAAGTAAGCTGTTGCATATATAAACCCCCAGTTCCGCCAAGACTCGAGCCAAGACTGTTGGCAAGATGACCGCTACATTTCAGGCTGTTCATACGCTTAGTACGTACTAACTTGCCTACAGTACTCCGTACAGAGCAGGTACCTAGGACCCTATCTACCTCGGTTCGTGACCTCCCGCTGATCCCGTTGCCCCTATCATCTCTGGACTATTCGACCCTACAGCATGTAGCTGTACCTACGCCTCATTCCTCATGACCTTTCAGCCAGTCGCAAATGCCTCCGCAAATCATGTCTTCAGAGACTAAGGCTGTTATGCTTAATGACCTGTTCGCCCCACGGATTGACCTTATCTAAACGACTACTCCGTACCTCGTCCGCCGAATACAAATGCATATAGAAGTTCCAAATCGCCAAGACGGACGAGCTGGCAGAAATCGGGGGCCGTGGGGTTGTCCTTGGCATTGGGGCTTCTTGCGGGCGCTGATTATGTCACGGTAACGCTGTGCTTTGGCCACCTCGGCGATGCCGCTATTCACGGTTGAACTCTGGGTGTATTGCATTGGGATGCAGGGTAACTGGCTAGACTGGGTAAAAAATGGTGTCGTGGAGCTGTCAAGATACCGTTGAATTATGTGTCAATTGTCCAAGAGGTGGTAGAGAGCTGGCTGTTCTATCTTTGGATGATGCTGGTGTCTTGGCCAGATATTGTGCATGGCCAAGACGGATGGCTGTTCCAGGGTATGGGGAGTGATCTCAGTGTCACAACTATGCCCAGCACGCCGAGATTTTGGCAGAAGAATGGAATTGTTCTTTTGTGGAAGCACTCGATCGGCCATGGATTTGACCTCATTGCTTTAATTCTGTACAAGTCGATATGTGCTTTTTCGGCTATGATGAGTAGGGTTATAAGTATATCCTGTAAATGGATGGTTCAAGACTTACGACTTTTCAGTATCTAATAGTAGTCCTTGGACAGTATGGGGACTGCTCGTCCTCGCTGGCGAATCCATTATTGAATGCACTTTCTGGACCTGATACGCATTCTTCAAGCCACTCATGTCATACCCAACGTTCCCTTCGAAGTCTCTCGAATGAGATGTGAACCTTTGCATTACCCCCGCGAGACGTATTAAGCAAGACATTGACAATGGCTGTGTGGTCGACTTAACAAAGTCAGAATACGCGCCGTTAGAGAGAGACAGCCATCAACTTATCAAACAATAGTTATCCGCGGCCGTTTAATAGCCTTCCAAGACTTTGACTTCATAATCAAAACAAGGTGTTCAAAGACCCTGATAAGACTGTTTATAAATCCCTTAAACCTGTCTAACAATTCTATTATTATGACATAGGATCGCCGTTTTGAAAATGCAAGCAGCCTCTCGATTACACGAGTATCTTGTACTGTTGTTTCCGGTAGAGACTCGCCATAGAGCAAGTGCCTTGATGTTTCCATGGCCATGACAACTTCAAAGGATTCAAATGTCATTCAATACTGGTAGATGTATCCTACAGGTGTATAGATTTCTATTTGTTGCAAGTTTCCGCGATGTGGCTTGAAATGGGTTGGTTAGCCATGCACACGCTTACAACGTGCTTTAGGAACTGTTCAACAAGTCGAAAGAATGTCCGACGTATTTCAGGGATACGCAATTCTCTTGATGGGTAGTTCTATGATATTTCTGTCTGGTCTATTAGACTTGGACGCCGGAGAAAATCAGATAGAGATCTCCGTCACCGCCACTCGTGCTCTCCGTGCTTCAACGGTGGCCGATTTTGCCGTCCGAGTTGCCAGTAAGTCCGAGCTAATATTAGCGTATTAAATACTCCGTCGTGGTGCATTAGAGCTTGGGGATAAGTCGCCATTCGAGAAGTGAATTCTATGAAGCTATCATAGACACTGATGGTGCCAGTACTGAACTCGTAGGCTTTGGCGAAATCAACGTAATACAACTGTCTTGAACCCCATTGAAAAAAAAGCTCCCCAAAAGAGAGAAAGACATTTCAATATCATGCTGTATTGTATATCTTACTAGACACGTCTGATAGTGAGTGTTTGACACGTGGGCGTCATGCAACGTGGAAATGATCGTATCAGAAAGAGTTCCAGACCACTGGGTCGGCCTAGGCTTGCTGCAGAACGCCATCGGGACGTAAGCCGCCCTCTAAACACATGGAGTAGGTATCTGAGCCTCCTATACAGCACCTGATGGCGGACATGGCAGGGGATGCAAGACATCGGAATCCCTCGCCGATGAGATACGGAAGGCCTCATGATAGTCGACGTTATCATACTTTAAAGTCTCGTCGAGTCCAAGTGATGATAAGAAAAGAATTGCCTTTTTATATCAAGAAAGTTGATAACACTTGCATAAACACAGCTGAGTATCACGTTTGTTTATCAGATACCGAACCCAACCCGTTGAGTACCGTTATGAATTGCCTCACGGCAAGCTCCAACTAACTCTCGCCGTTTTCTCCGATTCACCCCTCGCGGTACCCTTCCTCATTCACGTCAAAAGTGGCTTATCGCCCAACTCACTGATACCATGTCTAGCTCGGCCCGGCCTCTCCTCAGCATCGGCAGATAACCACCGATAAGATCAAGATACGGAGTAGCGATTTCGTCATCGGAATCACACCCGTAGCGCTACGGAGAGAGCTAAACCCAACTGTTATCACATAGAATGCCTCTAACCAATGGTTCCCAACCTCACGACGAGTCTCGACTGATAGACGCTCGAAAGCTAGCTCGTTCTGGTCTAGTTGAAGCTGGGGTAGAATCTGGGGTAACCTTAAGCACTCAGTGGGTGTCGTAAATGCCTGATAGCGTTTTGGCAGCCGGTTTTTCTTTCATCCTCCTCCCTTGATGCTTGATATAGAGATAGTCCTCGCGGATACTTTCCCGTAGAATCCAATCATGATACGATCGCCATGTCGGTCACTTTCCCCAGACTCTTTCGCCCCCTAGCTCTATGAGACAGCTCCGTCACGTCCGAGGAAAACAGTATAAAGACGGACGATCGTCGTCGTGCAGAAAAGATGGATCCCAGCAAGCTCCCACTACAGGGTTCTCATCTCCATCAACAGCTTACCTAAACTTGAATTTGCTTGTGGATATCCTTCATCATGCGTCGAGAAAGTATTCACGATGTCAACGTTCCAGCTGGGATGACAGAAAAGTCCCGTGGTTCGATGACAAAAGACGATGGTCTTGACCTCGCAGCTTCACGAAGCATTGATGAAGTTCAAGCTATTGAAATGCAAGAGGGCAAACATGGACAATTCCATCGATCCTTTACGCCACGACAAGTCCACGTAAGTCCCATAAACCAAAAACACTCGCAATACTAACATTCCCCTTTCAAGATCATTGCTCTCGGTTCTAATATCGGCTCGGGCGTCTTCATCGCTACTGGAAAAGCCCTCGCGACTGGCGGTCCTGGAAACATGGTGATTGCATATTTCATGGTGTGCACATGTGTCTGGGCTGTTCTACAATCGTTGTCAGAAATGACCATTGCGTTCCCTGTTTCAGGAAACTATATCGACTATGCTGATCGTTGGGTTGATCCCGCTTTGGCTTTTGGAGCAGGTTTCGCCGAGTGGCTTGGTTCGTTACCCCTGAACTTGATTTTAAGACATGTATTCTGACTATTGATAGGTTGGACTGCTATTGTTTCTGCTGAGGCTGGTTTCTTCCATATCTTGGTAGGATATTGGTCTGGAGGCTCGTTTCCTTTGGCTGCATCACGTCAGTTTCACTTATATGCCCCCCTTTTGAATCCAACTAACGAGTCTCGTAGTCAGCATCTTCATGTTCGCCTGTCTCGTCATCTTCCTCCTCCCGAACACCGTATTCGCCTGGTTTGAATATGTAACATCTCTGATCAAGATTTTCCTCTTCTTGATTATCATCACTCTCTCTTTGGCTTTAGTTCTTGGAGCTGGCCCTAATGGCTATGTTCACCACGGAGAGACGTGGACTGACCGACCAGCATTCCTGAACGGCTTCTCTGTAAGTCTTGAAGTTCAACCCTTTAACTTTACTCCTACTAACAACTTTACAGGGATTCGCCAACTGTGCACTCCTCGCTACCTGGGCCGTCGGCGACCAAGTCTTCATCGGTATCATGGGCGGTGAAGCCGAGAGCCCACGCTTTTCCCTCGCTCACGCCACCAAGCTCGTCCCCTTCCGAGTCAACTTCATCTACATGCTCAGCGTCGTTTTCATCACGATTCTCGTTCCTTCCGACGACCCCCGTCTTCTCGGTGGAGGTGGTGTTGCTGCTTCACCCTTTGTCGTTGCTGTTACGGACTCTGGAATTCCTGGCATCTCTTCGCTCCTGAACGCTGGAATGATCTGCGGTGTCCTTGCCATCGCTGCCGAGTCAGTTTATCTCTCGTCACGAGTCCTGCGAACTATGGCCCATCAGGGCCTTATTTCTACACGACTTGCACAAGTCGATGATAAGGGACGTCCCAGACTTGCTTTGATCATCACCTCTGTCGTTGCTGTCGTTCTTGGATACATTCAACTTTCTTGTGAGTGGCCCCTCATTATCCGAGGATCACGACTAACATTGCCGAAGCTGGCGGTCTTACTGTCTTGAACTGGCTGATCTCCATTACGAGCGCCTCCTTCTTCACAAACTGGATCATAATCTCTTTCACCAACTACCGATTCCACTGTGCTCTGAAGGCCCAGAACGACAAACTCTTCTCAGAGACTTATGCCTGGAGATCGAGTGCTTGGCCCATTGCACCAGCATGGTTGATGCTCATCTCCATCATGTTGCTGATCTGCTGCATCTACTCCGGAATCAAGCCTGTCGTAAGTTACCTCAACTATCCTCAATCCCTATGAATAATCATCTAACAAAGACATCACAGGGTGGCGCCGGCTTTTCTGCCTCCAACTTCTTCCAATACATGATTGGTGTCCTTGTCATCTTTGGCTTCACTGCTGGATACAAGGTCATCTTCCGAACTCCCTGGAGAGATCCTGCCACTGCCGACTGTCTCACCGGCCGACGACACTTGAGTGTTGAGGAGATCAAGCATCTTGATGAATACTATGCCAAGCCCAAGTGGAGGCGTTTCCTCACCTATGTCCAACTGTGGTAAACACCACGTCTTGAAAGTTGTATGATGGTGTCGGGGTCTTTGGATACGGATGCATTCTATAGGTTTCAGAAACTATTCACAACATAGTATTAAAGTTGTCTCGCATTAGCCTCATCTTCATATAATATTCATCTTCAGTGATGTGCGCGTCATTTGTGTATGAAAGCAGGAGACCATTCCATTATCAAAGCCACTGTGGGTAGTTCGAAAGAGCTACAGCTGTGCCACTGACTTGACTTAGGATTTCAGAAGTTTAGATCGTTCAGTGACTGGCTACAAAGAAAGATGACGAAAGGAAGACCTTTGACATCGTCCCAGGAGATAGAAGAGAATTAAACATACTGCCCGGCGATGCAAGAAGTCCAGTGATGAATCTCAGCTATACTATTTGTATTAGAATTGTAGTTTTAGATACTCATGCCCCATCCATATCTTCAGCCAGCGGATCCTCCGGCCACGGCCATGTCAAGCTGTCAATGTCCAGCGAATTAGCTATATTCAACAGCTGTTCCGCACTAAGCTCATAGTTCAGCCCCAATCCAAAGTCATCATCTGACTCGAGACTAAACGGCTCGGCATAATCAGTAACAGAGCCTGTACCACTGTCTATGTCATTCATAAAACCTTGTCGAGGCGTGTTTGGACCCTGTGTCGTAACCACAGCCCTCGAGTCATTGCTGGCGAGGAAGCCTTTGAGCAAGTCTTCTAGTTGCTTCAGTTCAGCTGCCACCATGTTGGCCACGAGATTGCCTCTCGAGTTCATCTCATCGAAGAGGCCGTAGGCGCGTTGCGTCCAGGGAGTGTGGTCTGGTAGTAGCGATGAGTCAATCGCAGCGGCCATGAGCAGTGCGATTGTTGCAGTAAAAGCGGCGTCCTGGTCAAACCGCAGGAATGTTTCTATCAGAGATTAAGTAACACGCTCAAATAATTACTGGGACCAGAGAACTGACCTAAAAGTCCTTGCTCAGAAAGACTGGAGAGGATCCTCAGAATCTGCTGAGCAGATTCGGTGCACATTTGGACCAGCCCTTTCACACTCTCCGATTGTAGCCAATGCATTAGGGCTACCTCTAAGTGACCAAGCCTGGAAAGCAGGAACGTGTAAAGAAGTGGTCTCGTAGTGAGAATGATGCACTTGTTCTGTTAAGAAGTTGACAGTTAGAGGGAGACGAACGAGCTTACTTGGTGTTGCATCAAATGGAGATGTGCTGATATTCGTGGTATGCCAGCCATACCCTCGCTTGCCTGAATCTCAAAGGACTTGTTCAACCGTTCTGTGACGGTAGCGATACTCTTGAGGACGGACTGGGTAGCACCGAGGTATCGACTGTCGAGCTTTCCTTCAAGGCCATAAACAGCTGAGATGGTTAGCAACCATGTCTCTCTCTGTAGCACAAGAAGACGCACTCTGATTTATCTTTGCAAGAACCCTGCAGAAGTCAACATGTATCTTCAGTGCCTCTAACTTTTGCGGCTGCCCTGGGAAGTCGGGAAAGCGTGCGCTTATCGTCTCGTCGGCTATACTTAGCGGAAGTCCCAGAAGCGAAATCAGCTGGCGTTCGAGAATATAGAGTGTCCAGAACATGTGTCGGCTTCTCTGTACGTAAGCTGCGTCAAGAGCATCGGATTGCATTTCGGTGTGTATACCGTGTTCTAGGCCATGACGAAGTGCGGAACAGACCTGGTTTCGTTAGTTACTATACCCATCTGAAGAGCCAGTTGCTTACCAGACGATACGCCTGTTGTATATGATCCACAGATTGCAGATATAGAGCAGCGCAGCAAAGAACCTGCATCTGCTCTATTATATCACAATCAAAGAAGTTGAAGTCGGGCATGAGCTTCATGGCTTGCATGAAGAAGTCACCGCCAGGAGGTCGCCTCGACTTGGTGGATTGAACCACGAAAGCCTTCCCAAACGCCAGGACAAGAAGGTAGTGAATAAACCACAAAGGCTCTGCACGCGCATATTCAGAAGGGTTCTCGTGGAACACACGGAAGCGTTCCAGGAAGATGTCCTCATCAAATAGGCTGTACAGCCAACCGCAGTGAAACTTGACCGAGTTGATGAGATATAGAGCAAAGTCTTTAGTTGGCAGGGCAGACATGTCGGGAACATCCTGCGCCGTAAGCTTTCTAGTCCCGTCCCATCTGAGATCGAAGACCTTTCCCTCAGTGCCGGCGAAGTGTAGGTTATGCATTGATAATGGACGGCCCTTGACACGTTCGTGGGTCATGGTCAAAACTCTCTTGTTGAAGGACCAGTTTGATGAAGTTCCCATGAAAACTGGCGATAAGTTAATCCTCTCAATTTGAGATACTGACTCCTTGGGCGAGTGGGCATGGACTTACGGATGTGTCCTGTGACGCTTGGAACAAAGTCATATGTGTGGAAGGCTAAAGGATTCGTGAGGGGAGCTTTGCCTTCACCATTGAGTCGTCGTTGATCTTGTGCCTCGGCTGTTCCATATGGTGATATTGAAGCTGACGTCTTTATCACCTGTTGTGAGATCTCGTTGCTCTCGGTGGAAAGTGGCATACAATGATCACCTGGTACTCTTAGTAGAATGTCGATGTAGGACTAACAAAGACTTACTCAAATCGGTGCTCCTTGACCGGCCAGTCGTGGCTTCAAGGAGGGAATGCTCTTCTGACTTGCTCTCCAGAGCCGCCAACCTCTCCTGTAGACGGTTGATATACCTGGAAGAGATGTGTAAGTATGACTCCGTCAACAGTTCTTGGCATTGACTTACCCTCTCGAAACGACAACTTTACGTGATTCATCATCGAATTGACATACTGACCCCCTCTTATCACATTGCTGACATGGCTGCGATCCAGAACATCTAATCTTCTGATCTCGACATCTTACACAACTAATAATCTAAAGTCAGTTGCTGAACCCATATCGTCAAGATAAGAACATACGCTTTGGGAACACGCTTCCTTGCATTATTTGGTCTGGTAGCATTAGCTCTCGTAGACGATGACATCACCCTTGGAGTTGAAGCACAAAAGAAGCACAGAAATGGTCAATTGCAATGATATTGATGTATAGACAAAACAATGGCATCCTTGTGACTCCCCATGCTTGACGGGGTAGGTTTCCGCAGAGAGAGCGGGGTAGGGATTGATAGGAGAATGGAAGTATTCTAGAACGTGTGGGTATTGCAAGACGATTGGTCTTGCGGAGTTGATCGTCTACTGTTCCTGATTGCGTTAGATAGATCGTTGATGTTGATGCAAAGTCCGACTATTGCCTGTAACATGAAAACAGTCACGAACAGATTTACTGACAAGGTGATCTGTGATTCAAGTCATTCATTGAAGCTGATGTCTAGCCTTATGGAAGCCGCATGATACAACGTTGAAAAAGATGTACGATAGGTAGTTATGCGAACTGATGTTGAAAAATAGCCTATCATGACCTTACAATGGTGGAAGCACATTTGCTTATACTTTCTTCAACCAAACCGGTATTCATGATGGACTCGTTCCCCCCTTTGGCTTCGCTGAAGGCGCCGCTCAGCAAGAAATAATTCTTTAGACCACAAGACACGAAATTACTAGGCATTGTCATGCCCATTCCTGATTCTTCCGACGAGCTGCTTTGTGGATGGACCAAGCTAACGAGCGGCTGAAGGCTGAAGCTTATGGGCTAAGTTGGTGGCTTGCAGGCTGAGCTTTTGCATGTGCGACAAACAAGATCTTTGCGGAAGAAATGGGCCTTGCTATTTGTGTTTTATTTAAGCTTGATTGAGGTCTTGAGTGGGAGGTTGGATTTGTATAAGAGGGAGCAAGACCCATGCATTGAGCCATCATACTCACCTCCGTACATCAACACCAACACCAACACCCCCGACTTACACGGCCTAATAGTCTCACTACTACACTACCACCAATGTTCGGTTTCCATCTCAGCTACCAGTGGCTTCACTACACTCGACCTTCAGGGCCTCCATCTCCAGTCCCTCGAGGTCTCGAGCGTCACTGGGTAAACACACCCCAAGGTCGAGTAGAAGTCCTCTCCAACACCCCATCAATCACCAACAAGTTCAATGGCCCTCCCATGGTCTTCTGCCACGGCGGCATGGGCTGCGCATGGGTATGGACAGAATACATGCAATATCTAGCAGCACGTGGTGTTCAATGCTATGCAGTCTCATTGCGCGGCCACGGCGAATCATGGCACCCATCGTATTTCCGCATGGTTTTTGCAACGCCTCGAAGTGCTTTGGCTTCTGATCTCGTTGCGGCTATCGAGTGGGTGCAGACGAGGGAAGAGGGTGAGGTTATGCTTGTTGGACATTCAAGTGGTGGTGGTCTGAGCCAGGGTGTTCTGAGCGATGGATTGGCTAATGTGAAAGCACTTGCTTTGCTGGGTGCAGTTCCAGGATTTGGATCGTGAGTCAAGATAAACATCTATCTCGAAGCTGTTGCCAGGATACTAACACAGTCGCAGAATGGGCGTGTATATGAATTGGTGGAAGATGGACCCATGGTTCACAATACGATTGATCTTCCATCTCTGGCACTCCAACTCACCTCTCTCCCACCCAAAGCTCACACAAAGAGCCTTCTTTGGCGACAAGTTAAGTCTCTCATCCGTCATCCCGTTCCAACGCCATATGAACCGCTATGAGAGTTACTTGTGGCCTTTCAGCATGATGTACAGCTTCGCGTCTCCATCAAACATCTTGAGTCACATCCGCAATGACGGCGCCAACGGTGAAAAGGTTCTTGTCATGGCCGGTACGCAAGATAAGCTCATGACAGGTCCCGTGACAGAGAAGACAGCGACATTTTACCGTGAGGCTGGAAATGACAAGCGAGATGGCGTAAGATTACAATTCGTTGAGGGAGCAGGGCATCATTTACAGAACGATGTTCAATGGGAAGATGGTGCAGAGAAGTTGTTTGAGTTTTATAAAGGCATTGCATGAGGGTTTTATTAAAACTGGCCGTGGGTATTGATCATATTCGGTCAGTCAACCGTTTGTTATTCTGTCTGTTACTTTAGATCGGGACCCTTCCCGTAGAGCGCTCGCAACTCCATCATGATAATCAACATCATTCGAGATTCTATGTCCCGAGTCAGCGGAAACGCTTACCATATCAAAATATCGGTTCGATATGATATAATCGGTTCAAGATCCCGAGAGATGACCGAATCAACGTCCACTCAATTCAAACCTGTCGCTCCGGTAGCGGCCTCACATAACCCGAGCTAACCTTAACCTGGACACGACAGTGAGAAAGCTCCGTTGAAACTTAACTGTGCTGAAAGGAGCAAAAAACGGGGACGGAAGACAGGGGATTCCGGGGCTAGAGTCAGGACACTCAGCGCATTTCCCTAGGCGAAGTTCCCTCTTCCTCTTCCCCTGAGGCAATTCGTATGACTCTGAATCAACAACCTCAAAATCCCCCTTTTACTGCTTAAAAAACTCTGGGTTGCGTGACGTTTATATCTCGGTGCTTCATAGACCCGAAAACCCCGGCTTCTGTGCCCCGAATCGGAAGCCTACCGACGTTCCCTATCCTCTCGGCCTTCTTCCGTCGCAGCAGGCAAAAAAAAAAAGAGCACACCCGACCTTTCAGAAGGCCTCAGGCAGTCAACCTGGCGCCTCTTCAGCGGTTGTCTTCCGTGGCAGTGGGGGTAGGCGCAGCAGCCAGTCGTAGCCTGTTAAGATCGGCACTTGCAATGGAGGGGAGAAAGGTGCCCCGCGCTCCGGAGCTGTCCGCCGAGAGCCCCTCTTCTTCGTCGGCGGGCTTCAAGACGTATTCGGCCGCTGGAACAGCATCTGCGTCGGCCGATAGGATCTCTCTCGTCTCAGGTCATTTGTCGTCTTCTTCTTATACCGCGGCTTCTCCTGCTCAAGCTTCAGTTTCTTCTCAAGCTCGTCGTCTTTCAACATCCACAGCCACCATGTCTTCTCAACCTGAACACGCTACTCTCCTCATCCCCGGACCCATTGAGTTCGATGATGAGGTCCTCAAGTCCATGGGCCACTACAGGTACGATGCGATCGATACGACTTGGATCACCTTCGCGTGATGTGATTGATAATATCTCGCTTGCTAATACTTATCACACAGTGAGAGCCACGTCGGCCCCGGCTTCGTCAACACCTTCGGCGAGACCCTCACCCTGACCCGCAAGCTGTTCCAATCGACCGATCCCTCCGCCCAGCCTTACGTTATCTCCGGTTCCGGTACCCTGGGATGGGATATTGTTGCTGCCAACCTTGTCGAGGCTGGTGAGAACGCCCTCGTTCTCAGTACTGGATACTTTGGTGATGGCTTCGCCGACTGCCTGCGCGCCTACGGCGCCAACGTCACCAAGCTCGACGGTGAAGTTGGCGGCCGACCTCAGCTCCCCGAGATCGAGAAGGCTCTTTCCGAGAAGAAGTACAAGATCCTCACAGTAACCCACGTCGACACATCGACTGGTGTCCTAAGTGAGCTCAAGAACCTTGCCGCTACTGTCCGCCGCGTCTCTCCCGAGACTCTCGTTATTGTCGATGGTGTCTGCAGTGTTGCCTGTGAGGAGATCGCTTTCGATGAGTGGGGTCTGGATGGTGTTGTTACTGCCAGTCAGAAGGCCATTGGTGTTCCCGCTGGTCTCTCCATCTCATTCTTCAGCGGCCGAGCTGTCGCCGCTGCTCTTGAGAACCGCAAGACTCCTATTCCCGCTTACTTCGCCTCCCTGAAGAACTGGACACCCATCATGAAGAACTACGAGGCCAAGAAGCCCTCTTACTTTGCTACTCCTTCTCCTCAGCTCATCCACGCCCTCCACACTGGCCTTACTCAGATCTTCACCAAGCCCCTTTCTGAGCGATTCCAGGGCCACATCGAGGTCTCGAACAAGGTCAAGAAGGCTGTTACCGATCTTGGTCTGAAGGTCGTTGCTACTAAGCCTGAGGACCAGGCTCACGCCATGACTGCTATTTACCTGCCCGATGGCATTGGCGCTGCTGATGTTCTGCCCAAGTTGGCCGCTAAGGGTGTTGTCTTTGCTGGTGGTATCCACAAGGCTATTGCTCCCAAGTATATCCGATTTGGCCATATGGGAGTCAGCGCTGTAAGTACATATGAATCTGCTCACTCCAGATAACCTGCTAACATAGTTTTAATAGCTTGACCCCAGCCGAAACCACATCGAGAAGGCTCTTAACGCTCTTAAGGATAGCTTGTTCGAGGTTGGCTACAAGGCTTAAAAAGAGAATGAATGAATATCAACATCGCTTGAAGACGACCAAAAGACGGCACATTGCCAGTTCTTGGCCGTCTATGCAAAAAGAGTTAAATAATGAAACTATGGCTGGCCATGTATGGATATCTGGATACAAACGGAGCCAACTATAGAGGGTTGGCCAGTATTGTCTTTTGTCGATAGAGCGAGCCTTGAAAAAAATATGATATTTTGATGATCAACGTGTTTAGCCATGGTTCGTTGAGTTTTATGAGCTATCAGTTTATGCCTGGTGATTGTGTCTGCTGTCATGAAGGGTGCGATATCTCTCGTGTTTATGCAGAACACCCATGTTAGATACTGTTCATGACAGCTTAGATTTTAACATGCTCGAAAAGGCAGCCCTGCATACGTTTGGCTCGTGGTCGTTATCATCAAGGCAACTTAGATTACGATCGTGATTCGGGTAGCCGCATGCGGTAATTTCAGCTCACAGCTTTCGTACGAGATTGACCAACACGCGCCGTTGTCAAACCCAGAGCGAATCATGAGATCGATCGATTAATTATGCGCCCGGGAGGCTGGGGAGTTTCGGCTGGTTCAAGTACCGCTACAGAGATCCCAGCGTCATGGGTCGGACAATCCGTTCGCTGAGTGGCCTTTTGGTATGAGAAATGCGCAGTGACAGCATCAACCGCCGTCACGGATCAAAGTAGAGATACATTGATGTGATAGTGACATGACATGACAGGCAACCC